TTCTAAGAGTAGAATGTGAACGTTTTAAAACAATAACTAAGAAAATGACACGAAGGCTATGTTAACCAGTTTGATGGAAGTGTTTCGGATTGTGTGTGAAAACCCCACACTGTACCCCAGAAGTGCATTAATGTACATAGTTACCATTCAATAAAAAAAAAAAAAAAGAGTCTCAAGCTGTCACCCTAGGTAGAGTGCTGTGGCATCATAGCTCACAACAACCTTGAACTCTTGGCCTTACTCGATTCTCTTGCCTCAGCCTCCCAAAGTAGCTGGGACAACAGGGGCCCAGTATAACGCCTGGCTATTTTTTGGTTGCAATTGTCATTGTTGCTTAGCAGACCCAGGCTGGATTCGAACCCACCACCGTAGGTGTATATGGCAGTCGCCCTTGCTGACTGAGCTATGGGCGCTGCCTATTTTTTTTCTTTTCTTTTTTTTTGAGACAAAGTCTCAAGTTGTCACCCTGGGTAGAGTACCATGGCATCATAGCTCACAGCAATCTCTAACTCTTGGGCTCAAGCAATCCTCTTGCCTCAGTTTTCTATTTTTAGTACAGACAAGGTCTTGATTTTGCTCAGGGTGGTCTCCAAACTCATGAGCTCAAACTGTCCACCTACTTTGGCCTCCCAGTGCTAGGATTATAGGTGTGAGTCACTGTGCCTGGCCAAAAAAAACTTTTGTTTTGTAGAGTTGGGGATTTTTGCTATGTTGTCTAGGCTGATCTCAAACTCCTGGCCTCAAGCAATCCTTCGACCTCAAACTCCTGAAGTTCTGGGATTGTAGGCATGTGCCACTGAGCCTTGCAGACAGAATTTAGCAATGTGAAAAGATACGAATAAGAATTTTCTTTGAGGGCGGCACCTGTGGCTCAGTGAGTAGGGTACCAGCCCCATATATCAAGGGTAGCAGGTTTGAACCCAGCCCTGGACAAATTGCAACAAAAAATAGCTGGGCGTTGTAGTGGGCACCTGTAGACCCAGCTACTTGGGAGGCTGAGGAAAAAGAATCACTTAAGCCCAAGAATTGGAGGTTGCTGTGAGCTGTGTTACTATGGCAACTCTACCTAGGGGGGAAAAAATGGGGGGTGGCACCTGTGGTTTAGTGGGTAGAGTGCTGGCCCCATATACTGGTGACAACTGCAATAAAAATAGCCAGGCACTGTGGCAGACGCCTGTAGTCCCAGCTACTTGGGAGGCTGAGGTAAGAGAATTGCCTAAGCCCAAGAGTTGGAGGTTGCTGTGAGCTATGATGTCACAGAAATCTACTGAGGGAGACAAAGTGAGATTATGTCTCAAAAAAGAATTTTCTTTGAGGCTCGGTGGCTGTGCTTAGTGGTTAGGGCGCCAGCCACATACACTGAGGCTGGTGGGTTCAAGCCTGGCCTGGGCCTGCTAAACAACAACAACAACTGCAACAAAAAAATAGCTGAGTGTTGTAGCAGGCGCCTATAGTCCCAGCTACTTGGGAGGCTGAGGCAAGAGAATTGCTTAAGCCCATGAGTTTGACATTGTTATGAGCTGTGATGCCACAGCACTCTACCAAAGGTGACACAGTAAAACTGTGTTTCCAAAAAAAAAAAAAAAAAAAAAAAAAAAAAGGATTTTCCTTGAAAATTTAATATAGTTACAAAGAATTTTAAAAATTTAAAACACTTTAACCATTGTCAGTTTGGTGTATTACCCTTAGGTTTTTTTCTCTGTGTGTGTTCTTACACTGCATCATCTTTTTTTTTTTTTTGGAAACAGAGTATTACTGTGTCACCCTCGGTAGAGTGCTGTGCTATCACAGCTCACAGCAACCTCAAACTCTTGGCCTTACTAGATTCCCTTACCTCAGGTCCCAAGTAGCTGGGACTACAGGTGCCTACCACAACACCTGGCTTTTTTTTTGTTGCAGTTGTCATTGTTGTTTAGCTGGCCCGGGCTGGGTTGGAACCTGGCAGTGTTGGTGTATGTGGCTGGTACCGTAACCATTTTTTGTTTTTTTTAAATAGAGTCTTGCTCTGTTGCCTTGGTGGGAGTGCCATGGGGGTTAGCCTAGCTCATAGCAACCTCAAACTTTTGGGTTCAAGGGATTTTCTTGCCTCAGCCTCCCAAGTAACTGGGTCTACAGGCATCCACCACAATGCCTGGCTAGTTTTTTATTTTTAGTAGAGATGGGGTCTCGCTCTTGCTCAGGCTGGTCTTGAACTCCTGAGTTCAAGGGATCCTCCTCCCTCAGCCTCCCAGAATGCTAAGATTACAGTACTCCTTTCTTCTGCATCCCTGGTGAAATTTTTAAGACAAATGATTTAGAATATAATAAAAATAATAAAATAATAGAAAGAAGAAAGTACTGGGCTCTTCACAAAGAGCTGACTGGTCTTCGTTTGTGAGTCTTTTGTCAGTCACAAAAGTAACCACTCATTTTCTCATACTAAGCAACCTGGCATCCAACTCCAAATTTTTGCTAGGCAGCACTACCTATAAAGCCTAACAGCTGATGTAATAAGAAGGCAAACCTATGAGGAAGGAAAACAATCAGTTTCCATATCCTCGTTGAAGAAATGCCTCCTACTCAGACCCAATATGGTCAAATCTGAGGGCTCCTGGGAATGAGGCTGCCTTTCCTGGGAAGATGCAATTGTTACTGGAACTACGGATCCCTTCAGTGCAATTCTTAGGCCTTACGTTCTTACTTCCCTTCCAGCAACATTCTGTATCAGTGGTTCTCAACCTTCCTAATGCTGCGACCCTTTAATACAGTTCCTATGGGTTGCGACCCACAGGTTAAGAACCGCTATTCTATATGATCCCACAAATCCTCCCATTTGGTGAGTTTATGTTCCTGGAGCAGAGTTCACCCTCAGCTGCAGGTGCTTATAATCCCTAGAGGTATAGGCTCGGCGCCTGTGGCTCAAGCGGCTAAGGCGCCAGCCACATACACCTAAGGTGGCGGGTTTGAATCCCCAGCCCGGGCCCGCCAAACAACAATGATGGCTGCAACCAAAAAATGGCCAGGCGTTGTGGCGGG